TAGATCGATCAACACCAAATCTTTTTGCAATTTCTGTATATATAAAAGGCTCGTCAGGCTCTAAGGCATTAATAGCTGCAATTGCAGCCTCAATATTGCTCATGGTGGTGGAGATACAAGGTGTTGAAGTTGTGGTAGTTGCAAGGCCGCGTGTGCGCGAGGTGGTGGTGTGCGCGAGGTGGTGGGGCACGGTAGCAGTGTCGCAAGCGGCAGCGTGCATAAACGCAAGCAATATAACAGTACAGCAGTACCAAGCACGACTACACGACCACGACCAAGCAGCTCTTGAGCGCAGCAATGACTTACGTGAAAGCGAGCAGGGAGAGTCTAGTCTAAGAAAGGCTATAGCTGCTACACTATCTCTTTCTATAGGTCAAGTCCGGCAGAGCAATACTATTGCTGTAGAGCAGCTTTACTTTGCTGCGTGCGTAGACCGAAAGGACATTCCGCTCGATCTACTTAAGGCAGCTTCGCCGCAGGCCCGTGTAGATACGATTATAATACTTAATAGGTATGCGCTTATCACAAGGCGACCTGCTGAGTCAGCATTTGACGTGCATCAATTAGTGCACCAAGCCTTACGAGAGCAACTGCAGATGCAGGGACGGCTTTACGAATACACTCAACGTATAGTCACGCAGCTACGCTAGGTGTTTCTAAATAGCGATTATAGTAACAAAAGCAAATGGAGGCGACTACTGCCGCACGCTTAATATGCACTGTCGCATAGTGAGAAGAACGATGACAAGGAGAGAACAAATCTTGCAGAAGATTGCGCTAGGGCTCTACAGAGGGATGGACAATATAAGAGAGCTGAAGAGCTCTATATGCAAGTGATGGAGTCGAGGAAGAGAGTACTAGGTAGCAAGCACCCCGACACGCTCGTCAGCGTCAATAACCTTGGGTCGGTACTAGAGAGCCAAGGCAAGTACGAGGAGGCAGAAGCGATATATCAACGAGCGATAGAAGTAAGAGAGAAGGTGCTTAGGCATAAGCACCCTAACACGCTCACTAGCGTTAGCAACCTTGGGTCGGTGCTAGAGAGGCAGGGCAAGTACGAAGAGGCAGAAGTGATGCATCGACGAGATCTAGAAGGATCTAAGAAGGTGCTTGGGCGCGAGCGCCCTAACACGCTTACTAGCGTTAGCAACCTTGGGGTGGTGCTAGAGAGGCAGGGCAAGTATGAGGAGGCAGAAGTGATGCATCGACGAGATCTAGAAGGATCTAAGAAGGTGCTTGGGCGCGAGCACCCTAACACGCTTACTAGCGTTAATAACCTTGGGGTGGTGCTAGAGAGGCAGGGCAAGTACGAGGAGGCAGAAGTGATGCATCGACGAGNCGAGCACCCTAACACGCTTACTAGCGTTAATAACCTTGGGGTGGTGCTAGAGAGGCAGGGCAAGTACGAGGAGGCAGAAGTGATGCATCGACGAGCGCTGGAAGGGTACGAGAAGGCACTTGGGCGCGAGCACCCCAACACGCTCACTAGCGTGTACTGCCTTGCTCACCTGCTTGCGACGCTCTGTGACTACAAGGAATCTCTTAATCTGTACAGCAGAGCGTGTGACGGGTACAGCGTGGTCCTCGGAGAGCATCACCCTGATACCCGAGCATGTCGCCAATACTATAGCGAAGTGCTTTTATTATATGAGCAGTCTCGGCTGGCAAGTTCTAGACAGAGAGATTGAAGCATAGGAGAAACAGAGCGAGTAGTGTTTAGCTAGATACACAGCTTTATACAAGAATAAGTATCATGGGCTGAGCCTTTGTAGTACTGTCCTCGATAGGATCTCGGTGCGCAACTATCCAATCCGGGTGCGGAGGCCTACACCTGGATTCTGCCTATCTGAGAGATAATTAGACGAAGCGCACGGGGCAACGCTTAGATTACTTGAAGGAGCTATTTCTCTGGAGCCGCACCTAGATATAAGCCCCTAGCTAAGCAGTAGATAAATCTCTATCAAATACAGTCCTGTATACTAACGCATCTGCTCCTTGAGCGTAGCCCCTTATAGTAAGTAGGCCTGCCTTTCTCTATCATCTTATCAGTGTATTTAGCAGTAACTAGTTATAGCAATTTTTTTCTAAAGTTAGAGTACATTATCATACTAAAGTACTTAGTAGCTTTGCACAATAGAGGTTGCGCGTACTAGAAATTAGGGACCTAAGGCTATGCTATGATTACTCACAGCGCTGGGAATAACAGCAGCCCAAAACATCACGCTCAGCGCCGCAATCCTCAGCCACAGTGCACAGCAAGAGTTGCAGACATCTCAGCACGCTACGGTAGCTGAAAACTCGCTTAATACGCACGGATAGTTAGGTGTGTCCTAACGATCGTGCTGTCCGCGCGGAAAAGCTGCCACACTACACGCTCTATACCCAAAACAAACATTTTATAGATAGAGTCTAGATTTTTACCCTCTTAGCTAGCCTTGTAACCTACCGAACTCCTTATAACATAACGATGCTATAGATAAGCAGGGTGGTTCTTAAAGAGGGTTAATTAACAGAACTAGTAAAAGGAACCACAGCATAGTGGGTAATACGTTTTTTAGCGCCGGAGGGGGATGCAGTGGAAGAACGAAAGCTAAAGAATAGATGCACGCTAGACTGGTCGGCTTACTAGTACTGTGCGAGCATGCCGGGCGCCCGGGAGAAAAGGTGTCCCGTTACGCCGGGTGTCCCGGCACGCAGGGATTGACATTACCCCATTTCTTTGCCCTCAAAATCCCCGCAGCCATCAGCTTATATTTTCCACGCGTATCTTTCGAAATCAATATCCTTTTCTTAGCTACGGTTCGTGGATTACCTTCGCCCTTGATCTTCCTTAGTGTGAATCATCTTCTGAAGCAGCCTTGTCTTGGTCAGTCACTACCAATTCTATCGTCTACTCCACGACACTCCAAAGAAGTCGCGTCTGCTTCCTTAGAATCGGACGATACCATCATCTAGCTTGACCTTGGATAATAGAGTGCAGTGTTTAGTAGCTAATAGAGATGTTGACATCCGGTGACAGAGATTCACGGCGCTTCAAGCGACCCCTGCATATTTCCTCGCCTCATTTGCTGAAGAGGTACCCAAAAAGACGATCTCTGATTTTGTTGTGGATATTTGCGAGGGGCTAGAGGAAGCTCTATACCGCCGTATTTCGTACACTTCATCTCTCGCTTCACGAAATCGTGAACGTATCCGCCAAAGCCGTACTTGCTATTGGTCCAGCCTTGTACCGTGGCAAGCGATGTGGCCTTGAGCTGTGCGCACATCCCTTCAAGATTGGCGTTGATTTTCTGAAGGTCGTCGTGTACGCTAGCGGCGAGAGCGATGATAGCGGACCCGGTGAAAGCCTGGGTGTATGCTAGGGAGGAGTTTAAGGAGTTCGTTAGGACATGGACCTCGCGCGTCGGTAGGGAACTCTTGAATTTGTTGAATCGTTGCCAAACTTAGTCTCCCTCAGGACTACGACCAACTATTGCATCAGATTAACAATGAAGCGGAAGTGCGACAGTCGACACGGTCGTTGGTTACTGGCAAGGTAAATGTAATGAGTTATAAGGATCTAGACAAATATCGGCAGCACGCGCAGCTAAAGAATAGGCTGCCGCAGATAAGGGGGTCGTAAGCGTAAGGCGTATACGTGGGAGGCAGAAGATAATGCCGAGGATGACATTGGTGCACAAGGGGCGGGGTCATTGGTGTCTACACTAAAGAACAAGAGAGCAAGGAGGAGCAGTGTCTAGGAGTTGGAGCCATGGAGGGCACCAGTAGCGGTGACGTATTAGTGAGCTATGAGGTTAACGTCATTCAAGTCGTTTTTTCTACTCACGGTTACTTATTTCGTCCACTAATTTTACTACCAAGCCAATGAGCAGTTTATTCAGCCCACATCAAGTTCTTCGTCATAACCCCGTTTGCTTGTTGGGCAGCGCTTGATACTTGGCATCTACTACCCCACTTCACGTTATTACCACCTAAACAGGTATGGTTGACACGTGCGCAAAAGGGCATTATACATGGTCTTCAGAATTATTTCCTTCACGTTCTCATTCTCATTCTCATCAAACGCAACATGTCTGCTAACTCATCACTATGTCCGAAAATCGATGTGCTTTATTGGGATGCATCGAATGTTTACATTGAATGTCCTTACTGCGAAGAGAGACATTGCCACGGTATGGTACTTCCAGGCAGACGTCTTTCGCACTGTAACACTGGCCAATACGAGTTCATACTTCCTATCGACGAAAGCAGCGAGCTTGTTGGCTATGAGATTGACAAACGAAGGGCCCGCTTCGTGAATGTTGGCTTGCGGACAGTCCAAGGGGATGAGACTTTACATTCTCCAGAGCAATATGAGTGCGAATTGGACGATCGTTTTCGCTCCGCAATGAATATCTCGGTCGCAGAGCGAAATTCAGCACCTGCCTTGAATCTTTATGAAGATTCAAGAGAGCTTGAAACTATCGTCATTTCAGACGATGACACTTTTGAGGAAAAGAGGATTCTATTCGCCATTTCAGAATGCATATGTGGCAATTTGCATACAATAGGCCAATATCTCAGTACTTCGGCCGAAAAGAAACTCTTTCTGACCGGTAAAAACAAGAATGGAGACACTACTCTGATTATGGCTGCAGCGGAGAAGAACCATGAGATGGTATCGTTCCTTCTACAAAATGGTGCAGATGCAAACGCTATCAATAATAACGGACGAACTGCACTTATGGAAGCAGCGCTCTGGGGCCGAATTGAAAACATAAAAGTGTTGCTTAGCGCCAATGCCAACAAACACCTTAAAGACCATGAGGGTCGCTGTGCAATGGATTTGGCACAGCCAACTCGCAAGAACGAAAAAGAAAGGTATTGGCGTTCTAGTCTTGCTGCTGCGGATCGTGTACCCGAGCGTGATAGAGATAGACGGCATATTGTGATCCTGCTCAGAGATCCGGTCGACGCCAAGGAGCAGCATAAGTACACTGGACCACTTTCGGAGAGTGAATGCAACAAATACCGCTTCAGGAAATCTGGATCTGAGATGGCCATAACATTTTATGGGCCCATTTGCAGCTACCGTGTGCCATATATCACCAAAACTGCCGCCGTTCTCGATCGGGGAGATCAATTCGCTCGTATATCGGCAACCAGTGGTTGGGCTCCTGGTGCTCTACCTCCAGATGATAGAAGTAGACTGAGATGGATTGAGCAAGTCTATTGCATTGCATCCATAGTTGGTCATGAGTTCCAATACGCACCGGACTTAAGCTGGGATCAGGGCAAACGAGGGTAGTATTTTGCTTCCCATGCGGAAAAGAAGTTGATCGCATACTTTATAGACAGGCACGTGTTCATGCCTCAAGACACAGAGCCTGATCAGAAGTTGGAAAGGTCAATTCTTAAAGCAGAAGCCTCTCTCGAAGAGGGAAAGCACTTGTTCTTAGCCTGGGCAAAGGTGTGCGATCTTGAAGAGAAAAGGGGAGAGTTGAACCGCCGGCTCTTCGACGCAGATGACCAACTACTGGGTGATTGCTATGATGAGCAAGAGGTCGAAACACTGAAACACGAAATTGATGCGATCAATGAACAACTTTCAACCCTTGAGTTGGACGCTAATGTAGCTGCAATGAGGGCTACGGAGAAAGAGATAGGCATTTTGTCGAAAAGAAATGAGATGCATCAGCGTCTGATGGAGCTGAGTAGACATCAGCCGCGTATCTCATTGAAGCAGGCAGTCATACTGAGTAGCAACAAGATTTGCGACGACTGTGATATGTTTAAGAGAAAAGTGAACAGTTATTTTCAACTGGAAATCGATATGAACTGGCGCACCTAGTCTAGTTCCATATGTCAACAACTCATTGATTACCAGCACTCCAATGCAGACCGGTCTATTGACGGTTTCCCAAGCTTCATACCATCACTCTTGGCATGGCTGCCTGGCACTTCGTACACTTTCATTTTCCAGCATTTGTCTCCTTCTATGTTTTTTCGGTTATGGATTTCTTGGTGACTAGTTATATATATATATATATATATATATAACTATATATTTGATCTTCTCTTAACTTTGGTTTGGTATATGTTACTCAACTCGGGCTGAATAACATTCTCATTTAGCTTTTGGGCGAAACCTGTTCCTCAAAAAGTATGCGCAGAACGAACATAAGACTGATATGCAATTCAATATATGGCATCACAACAGGGTCCGTGGTAGAATGTGTGACGGCTATATTCTCTCTTTTTGCTGACTGCGTTGAGCACAGCCATAAGCACAGCCATAAGCTACAGGTGAAGCCTTCTGCATGACAAAGGTAAGTTACGAAAGGTCATCACGTTAGTTGTATAATACCACCCCAATGATACTAGCTTCGATTCTGCAGTCAATTTGCGACCGTCTGAGAGAATTGCAATCCCAGCATCATCGGTCTCCATATAATCAGTGACGTGAGTTGAGTATTGAGTTTCGATCCCTAAATCTTTCGCACACTGCGCAAGCTTGATTTGCATGCCTAGTCGATTGACAGCTAGAGAGGGAAGCTCTAGAACTTCAGGCGGAAAGTTGCCCAGACTCTTTCCGTTGTGCTGGAACACATGGATTTATGGGGATTGGACTGCGTGTTTAAGCACCTTATCAAAAAAAAAAAGCCTGGCTATGCCTGGAAGTCCTTGTGAATTGGCACCTGTATTATCATGGCTTCACCTATTGTGCGAATTCAGTTAGAATTGTTTGCAAGCAACTATTAGGAGCTTACTAAAGTCTTCAAGTGTGGGTCGCTTCTCAATAATTTGGACATTGTGGCCTTGTCAATATGATTCAATTGCAAATGTTAGACCTCCCAATCCCGAGCCTACTACCAGCACGGATATTCTGGAAGGAGGCTTGCGCTGCATGTTAGATGCTGCTGATTTAGGCCCAGAGAATGACATTGAAAGGTAGTGATAGTGCGTGTTATATGAGTGTGCAGCGATGTGTCAGGAAACAATACTCATTATGGTGTCAGCACGAGGTTTTATATGGGGATCATCAGATCTAACGTGTGAACAACTTCGCGCCTCCGAATCTGATCCGAGTATCAATGCATGGATCATGAAACCGGCGGTGTTCATCGTAAGGTGTCTCCGCTACTATTAAGCGGAAGCGGAAAGAGGGAGATCCGCGTGGCCAAAGATACCAGATGTACTTGATTCACTACTAAAGAATATCTTTTGTTACTTGTGAAAACTCGCCATCCAGCCATTTTCCTCAAGAGACAACGATCCAGTATGATACAACGTGTAAACTCTAATAGAACAAATATAGCTATAGGTGTTAAGCATAAATGATGCGAATTGCGAAGCCGGTTAATACATGAACACTCTAAAGTATCCTCAGTATGATTCGAGACTGGACCATTCCCTTGGGTCTTACAACGGCCGTTGATCGTCCGGAGAGAGGATGACATACTTGTCCACAGCCGTTGACTGATACCAGCTCATTCCTGCGTAAGTCCGTATAATTGGATCCGAGACTAGTCTTGGGCCAATTGTTGTGGCATGAGCCTGGTTCCTTGGCTGACTTGTGATAAGGATTACTAATATGTACTTAGTAGCTAGACTCACCACACTGCGCATGAGACTATACTATCCTGCACGTGCAGCTTCACTAAGACAACTTTAGCAATATGGCTATACACCCGCACTACAGAATTAGTATCGCCATGCTCTCGAGTTTTAACGCTATTGGGCCTTAAATTATAGGACTTAGAATCGAATGTAACAGATTGGCATGTAAACATGACGTTCAGCTAAATTCAACACTATACAGGGGTATCAAAGCGTTACCAGCCAACAAGAAAGCGACTTTTGCAAGAAGCACTTTTGAAAAGCCTCATGGGATCCAAAAAGAACGGCAATAAGGTGGAAACTGACCGAAATCCTACCTACTACGGTAAAATCGGAATCCCAGTCACCCAGTCCTCCACCGGCTCACCGTTTTCTTGACGCAGGGTCAACATCGTCGACCGAATCCATCTCGCCTTTGAAATGATCTCTGCAACACTACGGTTACGCAAATCGCCCCCACGTGGATGTGAGGACCTGGGATCACAATACGTTTTGAACATCTTTTCAAAGACGCGTGGGCCTAGACAAAGCATTAGCAAAACACCCGAATTTTCTGATGCGGGATGACAATCACTCACCCGCACAGTACTGCAACCCCTCGAGCACAGCGGTCTCTTCATCTTCAGTCCATTCCACCTCATCTGCAAACTCTGAAACCTGACTGTGCGGTGGAGCAGAGCGAGATTTGAAGATAGGTAATCGTTCGAAAACTACACCATTTGCATCTCTCTCCACCAAATCTTCAAATCTGGTATGGAACAGCTTGCGTCGCCTGTATACATCAGGCTCGCATTGCATTCGAACGATATGAAGGTCTTGCCAGCGCTTCTTCCGTTCCTCCATTGCCTCGATGGCTCGAATTCGTTCACTCTGTGTATCGCGGCGTTCTCTGACCCTCCGTTCCATTTCCTCATATTGCTCACGACGTTCCTCTGCCTCCTGGAGTTGGCTTAGACGAACAAGAAGTGAATGGCTGACCCGCCGCAGGGGTGCAATTAGTCGGCTTTGGACATCCTTGACTACTCTGTCACCCTTGTGACGCTGAGGTACAGTGACCTTCCAGTGGCTGATTGCGTCATTGAATGCTACGATCTCCTGCACCAACGGGGTTATTATATGCAAGCTTTCTAAAGACTCTGTTGCAGACTTGTGTGTTTTGACTAGCCAGTCATGTAAGTCTCGAAGATATAGCGTAAGAGAGCGAAAGACAAAGCTGTATGCATCACTCTTGAATGAAAGTTGATGTTTTTTCCCGATTTCGGTGCTGTAATCCTGAAGCGTCTGTTGTAGCGTCTGTTGTATTTTCGTGGCGTCTTGCGTGACAGCGTCTATTGAATGAGTGTCATCCTGGAAGTTTGCACAATACTTTTCACACATGCGTAAGACCTTCCTGGCACGTTTAGTCTGGCATGCCCCTTGACGTTCTTCGAGGTCAAGAAAACTGAAGACTGTGTCAATTTTCTCAGGCAGTTGGTCCATGTGTTCAGTTTCTTCATCTTGCGCAACGCTATGCTCACTCTCCTCATTGTCCGGAACATACTCTGGGTTTCCATCGCCAGGCGTATCTTCAGGCACTGCTGGAACTTCCTGCGATATCGCTGGTAGGGATCTGCTCTCGCGTGTTCTTGTTGGAAGTTGGTGGTTCAGTTCGGTAGAAGCACCGCTACCATCCTTTCGTGGTCTCCCCCGTTTCTTAGCGGATGCTGGATTCGAGCTCTCTTCTTGCAAATCCCTCGCTTGGTCTTCATTCTTTTCGGAAGATGCATGCTTACTCGTACGTTCACTTTTTCTTCTTAGAATCTTCGCAGGTTGGTCCTCTTGATGGATCGGTGCCGACTTTCGCTTACTACGCGGTGATGCTTCATAACCTTGTTGTTCGATACAAGTCGGACATCGTGAACCGTTGGCGGTTACCTTAGAAGCAGTCCTGTAGCACTGCGTAGTAACATTGCCGGAAATCACCGTCTCCTCACAACGAACAGTAGGGGGCTTACTGAGGTGAATTCCGCATCTGAAACCATCGTCGGTCTGACCGGTGCCAGTGCGTAAACATTGCCTGTAAGCTGGGCCCGTGGTTTTATCATGCTTGTAGAAGACTGCTGTGCATCTGGGTTTCCCATTATCAAGGCTCTCCTCGATTCTTACATCTCCGGGTGCATCGACATGGGAATCTGCTTTACTTGAAGGAATCTCTTCTCTGGCGGTATCAACGGCAATGCTGTCGCTTCCAACTGGGGCAACTTGGGGTGGAGAAGAGCGCATAGCTGGATCGGTAGAAGCCGGATCCTCTACCAGCCCTTCCGGATCTACTTGCGGCCTGTCCTCATCGCGCACTGGCAGCTTAGACGGAACATCTGGACCAGCACTGGGCTTCTCGACCGCATGTGTCTTCTTCTTTACAATCTTAAGCGGCTTTCTGTTCACCTTCTCTGGTAACGCGTATTTTCCCTTTTCCGGACTAAGCTCCATCTCGTAAACATCACCTCGCACAGCGAGGTTCGTTCTGGCACTCTCGGGGATCAAGCTCGCCCGCTTGAGCTTGCCGGTGCGATTCTTCCGTGCCATGCCAACCACAGGACTACTATGTCGGTGATCTATCCGCGCAGCATTGAGAAGGTCTGCACCAAGGACTACGGCGGATGGAGGACGTGGTAGAGGTGCGTCTGTGGCGAGGGACTCTGTTCGGAGCTGTTGGATGGCTGCTACATCGTCTGCCGTAGGATTGAAGAAGACTGAAGTATGGGAAGTGCTGGGCGGTATAGCGAAATCAGCAACATCGGAAAAGCTGGGCTCTATAGAGATTTCAGCCGCTGCTATTCCATTATCAGCTCATGCTCCATCACACCCAAGATCTTCGTTCATATGGACGCGCTCTTGGTGCAGGGTCCTCGAGTTTCGCGCCGGCGACGTCTGAGCACCAACGCGTGTGCGCCGAGCCTCAGAAAGAGCCTCTCACTTACCGCTCGTCCTTGGTGGCTGCTTTAGACGTGCCATTTGTAATTGCCTCAAACACACACTCCACCATCAGGTGAAAGCGGCATCCAACGATAGCGAACATGTGGGGTTGTAGCGTAGGAAGCTGGACAACGTGAAAGGTGGGTCCGCCCCGAAACACGATGTCACATGAGGAGCGCCCGCACCAGCCCGCACCCCCATACAACCCCTCGTCCAAAAGTTCAGCCGCTATGGCATCCAACCCCTCCCAGGCTCCAGTGCTAGAAACGATCGACAAAGCTTCCGGGCATGAGTTTGCGCTGCCCGCAAAACGCATTCACGATGGCGACGACGTCACTGCTTTCTTGGCAAGCAGAGCATACGCCGACCTCATGACTTTCATCTTCCAGCTAAACACGGCTATGATACCCCGGAAGCTTGATTCAAAAGAGTCGGGAGAAGCGGAAACAGCAAAAGAATGGACTTTGAATGATAAAGATGTACCCTATCCACCCGTCGTACAGAACCTTGCCAAGCTCCTTGATGCCCTAACGTCTATCATCGACGAAGCACCACCAGACCCGGGACCTCGTCGCTTCGGAAACGTCAGCTTCAGAACCTGGTACGACATTGTTCGCGAGCGGGCTTCGGGGCTTCTGGATCAGCATCTTCCCCAGCACGTGCTGGATTTCAAGTCAATATCGGATGTTAGTGCGAAAAGTGAACTCGAAGCGTATTTCCTCGGTAGCTTTGGTAGTTCGCAGCGTCTCGACTACGGCACGGGTCATGAACTGAGTTTCCTCGCCTTCCTCGGTTGTCTGTGGAAACTCGGTGCGTTTCCCGAGTCGAAGGATGGTGATCAAGAACGCGGCATTGTGCTGGGTGTCTTGGAACCCTATCTCGTTCTCATCCGGCGCTTGATCTTGACATATACGCTTGAACCAGCGGGGTCACATGGAGTATGGGGACTAGACGACCACTCGTTCCTTCCATACATCTTCGGCAGCGCCCAATTCTCTCCAGCCATTTCCACCCCGGGTGATGTAGCAGCAGAGGGCTCCCTCCCCGCAGCCCCAAACCCAGGCGACGTCGCCAAAGCCCCAGCCGTCGAGCGCGAACGAAAACGAAACATGTACTTCAGCGCCATCGGCTTCATCTACGACGTGAAAAAGGGTCCTTTCTGGGAACACAGCAACATCCTATACGACGTATCCGGCGTAAAAGCCGGCTGGGCAAAAATCAACAAGGTACGTTCCCAGTCTTTTGTCCCTCCCCCCTCTTTCCTAGGACCCCAAATGCAAACAGCATAAAAATGCCATGAAAGATGGGGAAAAAAAATTAACAGCAGGAATAGGGCATGATAAAAATGTACAACGCAGAAGTCCTCTCCAAATTCCCCGTGGTCCAACATTTCCCTTTTGGCTCCCTCTTCTCCTTCGCTCCCGACCCAAATGCCCGCAAAATACAAGCTACAGTCCATACAGCATCGCAACCAAAAGCCTCGTCAGCAACTACCCCGCGCCCTCAACCGCCGCTAAGGGACCCCCTCGCTGACACGACGGCAACCATGCCAACGGCAACAGCAAGACCCGGTGGAGCAGTGGGAACGGCGGCGCCGTGGGCGAGAGGCGCACCGGCGGCGGGGCCAGGGGTACCGAGTGGAGTTAATCAGCCTACGAAGGCGCCGTGGGCGAGTAGGACGACGACGACGATGATGCCGGGGGCTGGGGCTGGGGTTGGGACGGCGGCACCGTGGGCGAGGAAGAAGGAAAATGGCGGTGGTGCGGGAGAGGGGCAACAGAGTACGAGGGCGCCGTGGGTGGATAGACGGTGAGATTGTAGGGATGAACTGTCAAAGAATTAGTCTAAAAGCATACTTACATGCTTAACGTGATCCATATCACAATCATGAGAATGAACAGGAGACTAGACAACCTCACAACACTTCATGATATAAGCTTTTTTTCATTCGCGGTGCAGGAAGAATTACATCAGAAAAAACAGTCTAGCACAATTACCCTTCCAATAAACCTCCCCCTTCTTAATCGGATATCCCTCACTTCAGACAAACTAAGCAACATTTTCCATAAGCCCCGCCCCAACCGTCCTCCCCCTCTCTCTAAGCACAACCCTCATCCCTTCTTCAATCGGCAACTCCCTCTCAAGCTGCACCACGATCCTCGCCACCTCACCCGGCTTCACAATTCTCGGCTTCTTCTTCATGACTTCGCCCGTAAACTTATTCAGGCGGGCACTCAGCGTGCGGATGCTACCCGGCGAGTTGAGTGTGCTGCGAAACACCTCTACAGGCATAGGTAGTACATGCTCGAAAGCCAAGAGTTTAGATGTGAATGCCTTGACGAGTTTGACAGGGTCTTTGGGGGCGCAGATAATGTCGCCTTGGCGGAGATGGACAGGGTCAATGTCTGTGAGATGTAGGGTAGGTATTTGGCCTGCGACGGCCCAGTCTACAGGGGCGTCTTGGACTTCGATGGATTTGATGGTTGCGGTTTCGTTGGCGGGGAGCGCGAGGATTACATCGCCTACTTGTAGGGTTCCAGAGTCGATTCGTCCGGATATGCTGAGCGGTGAGCGCATGTCGCCCTTGAATACGTCGGCGACAGAGAGGCGAAGTGCTTTTTGGAGATTGCGTTGCGGTATTTCGATGCGCTCTAGGGCTTCGAGTAATGTCTCGCCAGTGTACCAATGAGCGGCAGAGTTTTCAATCTTCTTGACGACGTTCTCGCCTGTAAGACCGGCCAGCGGGATGAAGGTGATTCGTTTCTCCAGAAAACTTGCTTCGGTCAGGAACGCCGTCATGCGTTTTGCTATCTCGTCGAACCGAGATTTAGACCACCCAACCATGTCCATCTTGTTGACAGCAATGATAATGTGCTGCATGCCCATACTTCGTGCAATCATAATGTGTTCCTTAGTTTGACCCTTGAGGCCAGACTCGAAACTGTTGGTGCTGGCGTCAATTACCAGAACGGGAAAGTCGGCTTGCGATGCTCCTGATATCATGTTTGGAATGAAGTCCTTGTGGCCAGGAGCATCTAATATCGTGAATCGTGTCTTCTCTGTCTCGAAGTAGTTTGTCGCAATGTCTACTGTAACACCACGGCTTCTTTCTTCGCTTGTTTCGTCCATGACCCAGGCTAATGCAAAGGACGATTTTCCAATAGTCTCGGCTTCCTTTCGCAGCTTATCTATTGATCGCTGGTCGATTACTTTGAGGTCGTACAGCAAACGGCCCATCAGTGTACTCTTGCCGTGGTCAACATGTCCTGTACATAGTCAATGTGATTGCCCAAATAATTTGTTGTTTCTGGAGACACTTAGGTCAGGGCTGAGCTTACCAACAACCACAAAATTCGCAAGTCGTTTCATGTTGCTCTTCTCAAATTCATCCACCACGTTCAAGTTTTTGCTCTTAACCTTTGGTTCATCGGCAACAGAAAGCTTCTCGACCGATTCGGTAAGATCGCCATTAGTCTGCTTCTTTTTCTTCTTCGGTGTAGTCCCTGGTAGTCTTAGATATGCATATATAGATGACGCGTAACAGTCTAGTGACGCCCGCCGCCTGCGCTGTTTGCCTGTGCTGCCCGCACAATATCGTCCGGACTTGGTTTCGAGAAGACTTTTGTACCATCAAATGACTTGTAGGCAGCGAATGGCACGGGAAGCTCTTGGACATGGAGCTGCGGTTGCTTTAACGGCTTATCGGAACCACAGAGAGTTGAAGCAAACATGGAAGCAATAGCACGCTGAGCTGGAGACTCGACAACAATGGCCGGTTGGGGGAGCTGAGGCTCTTCAATCTCGGGCTCTTTTGGTGTTTCTGGTGCTGGAGAAGGCGATCGTCTTCGAACAGGGTATTTGGATACTCGAGCTGAGCGACTCGCGGCTGCGTCATGCAAAGGGTTGACGTTTCCCTGATTCTTAACCGAAAGCTTATCGAGCATCGCAACAGCCGAGTCCGCATCGCTATTGGCTTTGGAGGCAGCAGCTTCGGCTTCTTCTCGCTCCTTCCTACGCTTAGCCGCGAGCGCAGCTAGCTTTGAAGAGCCTCCGAGTAATCCCCCCTTATGCTCTGGGGCTTCAATGGCGATATCGGCCAGTCGCTCGGGTGGTACATTGCCCCAAGGCACATCCCAGAAGAAGTCTGTGACAGGAGCGTTGGTAGGCATCGACAGTGGGGGCAGCGGTAGGTGATGGGCAACAAGACGAGCGGGCTGGTTTCCATAGCTAGACCTCATGTGAGTTTGCTTACCTGTGGATGCGGGCGCATTCTGGTGAGCGACGCTTGCAGCCTGGTCGAACCGCGATGCTGGTTTAGCCTTTTCTTGTTTCGGTGCCTCCTTCTTGGGCTCTACAATCCCCAGTTTGTTTTTCAAGTAGCTCACACTTTTACCCACATCGTAGTAGTAGTGCCACAGCGCTTCTTGTATTTGCTCGTCGCTTGTGAAATCACTCATGTCTCCCATTGCTTCGCGCACCCGTATTGTGCCCGCGCGCATCTGCTCTCTGTCTTCTTCCGACATGCCGTCTCCCGCGCCGCCATCGTCGCCTTCTTCCTCGTAATAGTCGTCGTCATAGAGGTCATCGTCGTCGTAATCGACGTTGCGCGTGCGCGAGAAGCCGCTTTTGGGTGGCATGACAGGCGACCTCGACTGTTTTAGCGGTTAAGGGACGTGTAAACAGCGAGTGAGTAAAGTTCCCTATAATTGCGATGTGGTTCGGAGTAGCTTTTCGTGTGTGGGGGGGGGTGTTGAGCTATGTGTCGAGTAGCTTTGATTATCGGTCACTTGGTTGGTGAGAATTCATCGCGTCTCCCTTAGTTGACGTCGGTGGTGGGGCAATGTCATTGACGTATAGCGCGGCTGTACCTGCCCCGCGCTAGGCTTCAGCCGTCAAAGATGCGGAATGTACCTTCATATTATCAATCCCAACCTTGCTAATAAGTCAAACTCTAAAGTTAAATCTCCGTTGTACATTCACTCGAGGCAGGGAACCATAGCAGGTATGAATTTCTTCATTGTAGATACTTCAGTTCGCCATAATTGGACTATGCTCAGTAGTGGTGGGGTATAGAATTAGTTGAAAAGCAAAACAAAACGTGAAAAAGAAACCCCTAACAATTGCACCATGCGCCTGCCTGCTGCAATAACATGTTTTTTTCTTCGTTTCGTAGTTTACCTGAACCTCCTCTTCGCCCGCTCCATTGCAGCCTTGCGACTACCCCATATGAAGATTTTCTATTTCTCCGCCTTGTCCTCTGGGGCAGCTGGAGCAGCCGGTGTAGCAGCCGGCGCAGGCTCGGAAATCGGGGCAGCCGGGGTAGCGGGAGCAGCTGGAGCAGCTGGAGCAGCTGGAGGAGCAGTCGCTGTGGGCTCAGCGCTAGGAGCAGGAGCAGCATCAGCAGCTAGGGCGGGGGCAGGGGTGGGGGCAGCCGGGGCAGCAGTTTTATCGTCATGAAAATTGGGCTCATCAAACATCGGCCCGCTGGTAGCGCTCATGCCAGCGGCAGGCTTACTGTCAGGAAGCTCAGGAAGATCCAAGGGGGCAGCTGGTGCAGGCGCATCGGCAGGCTTGGCCTCTGCATCCTTTGGCGCTTCGGTGGATGCGGGCTGAGCTTCAGCAGCAGTGGGAGGAGCGGGCGCAACGGCGCCGACAGGCTCGGGTGCTGAAAGAAAATCGTTAGTCTAATGCATCATTGGTGACAAAGGAAATCGTTAAAAGTCGGGTGTTAAGGAAATGTGGTATCTGGGCGTAACATCGTAGTCGGGTCATCATGCTGGCGTGGCCAGTGGCCATTGTGCGTCGCATGTCTCTTGGAGAGCTTGCTGGCACCTAGATGGGATCGTTCCACTGGTTGTCCAGGGCGACTTTCATGCGTCGTCTGGACCCGTCCCAGGCATCTTGATCGTGGTAGTGTTGTGGAGTAGAGAATGAACGAGATGTTGACCTACTCTGCGTGGCTTTCTTGACCTCGGTTAGTGCAGCAGCTTCGTTCTTGTTGCTTTCGCCTGGTGCCGGGGCCGCAGCTGGAGCAGCGGCAGGAGCAGCGGCAGGTGAGGCAGGCTGAGGCAGTTCAGCGGGAGCCGTCGACGTCTCTGTCTTTGCGGCCTCGGGCGCAGTAGCGGGAGTGGGAGCCGCAGGCGTCGTCTCGGTAGGCTTGGTCGCGGCATTGGATGGTGTGGCTGTCTCAGGAGCAGCAGCAGGCTGGGAGTCGTCGGGCTTGGACTCATCCTTCTTGGACTTTTTGCCTTTGAAGATGCCCTTGAGGGCCTTCTTCATCTGGTCCATGGCGTCGAGCGCTGGGGCAGGGAATGCGTCAGATGGCGAGTTTTGGAGAGGAAGTGGGGTGCGTGGGTTGGTGTAGCAGTGGGGTAATCGTAGGAGGGATATATGTGCGTGAGAGCAGACGTGCGTGGCCGCAATCACAGGTGACGGTGGAATAGGCGCCAGGGCGACACTGAGGGTGAATGGGGATTGTACTTACGAACCCCCGGCATGATTCAAGAACTTATGGCTGGTGGCCAGATGGAGATGTAAAAAAAAACAAAGGCACACGGAGATGAACGTGTGCAGGAGACGAGTGCAAAAGTGATGCAGTAAGTAGCAGAACAAAGGTAGATGATGTTCACGAAGGATGTGGAGAGATGACGGAAGCAGATGGGTCGAGGGGAGCTTCGCCCTAGCACTAAGTGTCGGTTGCAGCTGCTGGACTGGATGGACCCTTGGGGCTAGGCGAAACAGTCTCCACCTCCGCACCTTGTCATGCATGCCAGCCCTCCCCCCAGCATAGCGCCCTTTGCTGACATGCCATTATCAACTGGGGTTTCACACTACCTGCTGCGTGCTCATGCATCTGTATTTAACGTCTAAATGCCCTTGATGGCACTGCTTCGCGCCGTCTTTGCTGTCCTCGCCCAGCCCAAGACGCTGCAATGCGACATCTCTGCCGTGCCACCGGCTGCACATTTCTATGTAGGCCGAATCAGGCTAGCGCCTATCGGGTTGGGGGCGCTTTGCCCAGCCCCAACCACGGCTCGCATGTTTGCCCGCTCGGCCTCAGGCTGTGACACTACACACCATGGATAGCAGCAATTCGACAACGGCACACAGCGGGGGCTCGCTCGTCCTCGCTGCTCTCCCAAATAGTCTGCTTGCCCGGGCTTTCTTCACCATTTTGGCCATCTGTGTTTGCACCAGAGTTGTCTCGTCGTACCGCTACAGGTCTATCAAGTACGGCCAGGGGCGCAATGTAGCCCCTCCTACAATTCCCTATTGGATTCCCGGTCTGCGGCATGCTCTGTCACTGGCATTGGATAATAAGCACTTCTTAGCCAGATGCTTGTAAGTTATCCAAAAAAAATCATGCACCTGTCAAGAGTACGATAAAGCACGTGACATAACATGACAGTGATTGCATACCGAACACACGCAATTGATCCTGACATCCCTTCAGTAACAAGTATGGCGATGGAACGCCCTTCTTTCTCGACGGTGCCGGCGAAAAGATGCTGTTTGTGCATGACCCAGAGCACGTCAAGACCGTGCTCATGTCGGCGCAGCATTTCGACCCCAACCCTTTCGTCCATGACAAGATTCTGGGAGCACTAATGGACAGCCCGCAAAAAACTATCGATTACTACAACACTCCAGGAGTCAACACAGATTACATTCAGATAACCCATATCCGCCAGCACACCACTGGCTCCCGCCTTAGCTCGCTTGACAAACGAATGTTCGACTTGATGAAGCAAAGTGTGCAACAAGCTTTGGAAGTTGCACCCGGAAGCGAATGGAAAAATGTTCCGGATCTCTTCGAATTTCTCACCTACCATGTGACACGCGCCATTCTCGTCTCCATTCTCGGCTCTTCCCTGGTCGATGAATATCCACAGCTCGTTGACGATCTCTGGAAACTTATCGAGGCAACCCCGGAGTTCTTCATGGGTCTTCCTCGCTTCGCCATGCCCAAGAACTACGCTGCGCGTGACCGCCTGCTCGTCAAAATCCGCGAATATTCCGTCAAGTCCGAAGAATTGAGGAAAAGTAATCAAGCCGATACAAAATGGGATCCTGTAGCAGGGTCTGGGTTACTCCAAGAACGAGAGAAGATGTACAGCGAGTTTCCCGATCACGACGTACAAGCTCGAGCATCCCAAACCCTTGGCCTTATGTATGGCGGAACCAGTCTTGTCGTGCCCGTCACATTCTGGTACTTGTTCGAGATCCTGCGAGACCCCAAGATGCACGCATATGTTAGTTCGGAGATCGAGGCCCATGCCATGCCCGAGTCGGGAATGTATAACTTTATGCAGCTTGCCACGTGCCCTTTGATACAATCACTGCATGCCGAGGCGACACGTCTTTACAGTTCCAATCTTGCGGTACGTCAAGTCATATCGCCAGTGTTCAACCTTGACGACAAATACACCGTTACCAAGGGCACTGATATCTACATTTCACACAAGTTCAACGCACAATTTTCTGCAGCATGGGCTCAAGCGCGTCCTAATGCTCTTGAACGTCCGCTAGATGTCTTTTGGGCAGAGCGCTTCCTTGTGGACGGCAAGGGTGGAGACAAGAAGGAGACTTTTAGCGATGCAGGTCTGTCTGGCAACTGGACGAGCTATGGTGGTGGCGAACATAAGTGTCCTGGACGCCACTTTGCCCGTCACATTGGCCTCGTCACACTGGCTATTCTGATGGGCGAATACGAAATTGAAATGGTTAACAGAGAGGCTGCAAGCAAGGCAGTCCCACCAATCAAGAAGGCGGCTTGGGGCACCATGAAGCCAACAGGTAAGGTTGGAGTCAGGATCAGAAAACGCAAGGCTTAAGAAACGAATGTCTAAGGCTCTACATGTTGATGGAATGTTGATAGACCACCATTTACAACAAGGCTTAATCACTATCGTTAATAATCAAAGTCTTCAAACACCACCTTCTTCCCCTCCAACCACTCCAACACCTCTTTCCTCATCCCCTTCCCAACACACAAATACCACACCTCCGCCTCCACACCCTCCAAATCACTCTTCCCAATCCTCCTCCTCTCAACAACCGCATCCCCAAACACCACCTCGTCCCCCTCCCCCTTTCCTGTTAAAAACACCTTCGTACAAGCCGCAAGCCCCGGGTACCTCGCAAACGTATCCCTCACAAACTCGACATCCTCCCCCCTCACAGCCCAAAACAACCGAAACCTCTCAGGTAAAAACTCCAACTGCGACACCTGTCCCAATAAAGGCGTAATGCCCACTCCCGCAGCTACAAACGGTACTACCTTCTCACCCTGCTGCTCCTCTTGCTTCACAACAAAGTCTCCCCCTCCCACCCCTAAAATCGGGACTTCCAGCCCCGCCCGCTCGTTAGTCTGAAAAAGAAACTTTGTCACCGGTCCGACTTTCCGGATCGTAACATCAAATTCGCCAGCTGCACCAGACGACGGAGGCGTAGAAGAAATCGTAAACGTCCTTACAAAATCATCATTCAAACTCGTCGGATCGTCATCGCGCATATGTTCATACCCCGTATCTAGCTCTTGTTTGAAATCCAGCGCTATCCACTGTGCAGGCGTATACGCAAAGTCCATGTTTGAGACGGAGAAAGTGAAGCGCGCGATACTAGGCGTGAGCAGTGTTTTCTTTGTCAAATGTGCAGTTTGGCTGCTGCGGGATGAGGAGAGGGCGGATTTCAAATTCCCCTCTGAAGCCAAGGGTCGGACGCGCGGGTTATATGGACTTTGAGCTTTCTGCGTGCCGCGGAAGGGTAATCCACCCTTTACAAACCGGGAGTCCTCGATGGTAATCTTGACGGCGAGATTGCTTCCAGGAAGCATGTCCGCTGCGTCTTTGCCCGTGAGGACCTGCGCACTGCCGGTTATGTAGAGGATATCTCCCGTGCTGTAGTTTGGAAACGCGAGACCGATTTTCGGGTTTAGTTGCAGGTTGCCGAGGGATTGGTAGAGGCGGTTGCCCGAATACTCTGGGTACACGATTTCGGTGGGGGAAAGGATGCGGACGAAGCCGGGGGGCCCGCCGCGGTGGTTGACGTCCATGTCGTCTGGGGTGCTGGTGCTGAGGAAGAACATGTCGGATGCTGATATTAGGGTGAGGCCCTCGTCGGACAAGGAGGGGCCTTCCGCAACTACTTTCGACGTGACAAGTGAAGGATGGATCTCGTATTGATTGATGTATTTAGGACAGTTGCCTAGACTCTGCTCGATCATCGTGACAACTTGGATCATATGTCGTGGCTCTGTCGGAGAATCTTCGCTCTCAGCTTTAGGTGCGATCTCGCGTACCATGCAGCCGACAAGGCGGCCGGCCGTCTTGACTCTCTTCCGCGTCATGAGATCGATGGCTAGACCAGCGACAAGCTTTGCGTCTTCTCTTTCTCGCGGTTTTTCGAAGCCCTTGCTGCCTGCTACCAGCGCTTGCACGACGGGATCGTGCTTGCCGTCTACAAGCGTAGATGTACCTACGGCGCCTCCGCCGATTGTATCGGTGAAGCCAGGGGATCCGCCCCAGAGTGTGACCCACGGTCTGGATTGGGCGTCCAAGGTGCCAAATGCGAGGAGAGGAGCGCGCTGGAACATAGCTGATGCTTGGGCTGTGAGATGCGTCGATGTGGGGTTGTCTTGCGGTGGTACACGCAGGAGATGGTGCATCTTTTCTTCGCCTTCACTCCATTCCATTCCTATTGAGAAATCCATCTTGTTGATATGTCTTTGGTGGTACTCTTGTCGTTGGTGTTTTCGATCTTGACTGTGATTCTTGCCTTGGTTGTAGTTTGACTTGTGCAACATCCGGTTAAGTGAATGAAGATATATCTTTCTTGAGCTGACACTCACCCCCCTCACTTTGGCCTTGAATCAATGTATGCTTACTAACTTCTGAATGTGTTTACAAACAAGTGTGCCGATGACTTGACGTCTTCTCCGCACGCCGTGTTGATGGCGTCTGAAGAACTTGCCGTCGTCGGCACTGACGAACATGCCGCTTGCCACGCATGGCGGGGCTACGTGTGTAGTAGTATCAAGGTCGGCCCTAATCATGCAATGCAAGAGCTGACAAAGACGGCTCCACGTATCAAAGCCCAAGAAATGGTGGAACTGCATCACACGATCAACCACGTACGCTGTCTACTTCCACAACGACAGTGAAAAGATTCAAGTACAAAAAAATTACTTGATTAAACAGGCTATCCAAGAAAATACTGAACGGTATGTAACTAGTGCTTGTGCTCAGCAACAATCATCTCCGCCGCCCGTTCAGCAATCCCATACACCAGCGTCTGAATATGCGCACTGGGCAATAAAGGAATAACACTCGCATCTACAACCCTCAAACCCTTTGTACCATACACTTTCAGTTTCGCATCCACTACACCCCCGTCTTTCTCCGGAAGCAGCGCAGCAGTACCGACAGGGTGATAAATACTCAGTGTATTTTCCCTCGCAAAACTCTCCCAATCAGCATCTGTCTGTACGGCACTACCAGGTTCGTATTCATGAGTCCACACCTCGCTCATCGGGGCTGAGGAAGCGATTTTGCGCATGAACTTTGCGAGACTCGTAATGGCCTGGAGGTCGTAAGGGTGAGAGAGGTAGTTTGGATTGATGAGCGGTTTATCGCTGATGTTTCGCGAGGTGATGTGGACGTTGCCTTTGCTCAAGGGGTGCTGTACTGCGCCGATGAGGGAGAAAGTGCCGATGCCGAATTGGGAGGAGTTGACTGCGGGGTAGCCCTTGCGGCCAGTGTAGCCGTCTGAGAAGATGACTTCGAGTTGGGGGACTTTGGTGTTGAGAGATGGGGAGGAGTAGCTTTTCTTTAGCTTGTCGGTGGTTGAGGTTAAGGTTGTGTCGTTGTCAACTAGAGCTTGGAGTTTTGAAGCTGTGGCGTTGGAGATTAGGTTCCAGGGGAAGTAGGCGTATCCACTGCCGGTGTAGTCGTAGAGTGAGCGCTCTCCGGCATTATATAGGGCTAACTCGGCAGCCGCACGTGTGGCGTTTTTGAGAACGTCGAATGAAGTATATTCTGGTTTGAGCTGGAATGCCAGCTGGATGCGGATGTGGTCCTGAAGGTTTTCACCAACAGAAGGCAGGTGCTTGACCACTTGAATTCCAAGTTTCCCTAGGAGGGCCGAGTCTCCGATACCTGAGTGCTCAAGAAGACCTGGTGTTTGGAAGGATCCAGCAGACAAAATCACTTCTCGCCGCGCACTGATGATAGTGCCATCTTCCAGGGTAACGCCGGTGGCGGTTTTGCCTTTGAAGTTGACTTTTGCGACTCGAGTATCTAGCTTCAATTCGAGGTTCTGTCCAGCAAGCTGGAGATACTCTGGCGCGTAAGAACGAGTATAATTTGGCCGGATGTTACTCGGCTGGGTCGCGACACCAATGGGATGGCCATTAAGGGATTCTCGATTAGGAGCCAGACCCAGATTGTTCATAGTCGGGATCCAGGTGTCTTGCTGGCGAGGAATGATTCTGTTGATAAGAGTTCGAATAGGACCGGTCTTGCCAACGCCATCGGATCCATATTCGGGAGATGGCAAAAAAGTCTCGACCTTTAGCATGGCTGCGTACAAATTCTTCCAGTTCCACCCAACGTTGCCGAGTTTCTCCCAAGCATTCAGCTCGTACTCCGAAGTGCGGTCCCATGTCATTAGGTTGAGTGCTGAACTTCCACCAAGCACTTTTCCACGATTTTGCGTAAAGACGCGATTGTTGGCATTCGGTTGTGCTACCGTGGTGAGATTCCAGTCGTATTTCCCGCCAAGAGTCGAGCCTTTTCTTCCTGGGATGAAGATTCCCGGGTCTTGACGGCCGTCGGGCCCGGCTTCTATGACCAATACCTTGACATCTGGGAGGCCATTACTTATGCGCGATGCAACAGCGAGGCCTGCAGTACCACCACCCACGATAACCTAGCCTTCTTGTTAGGAAACATTTGTTCGCAGGCTCAACTTGACAGCTTAACAAGAGACTTACAAAATCGTAAGAGCTGGAATTCCCAGATGCACTCTCTGCACGTTTGACTGTGGCCGCATCAGTATGCTCCACCAGCCCATACACAGCCAATGCCAATCCTAGGAACTTCATCTTCCCGGCAGATGTGGAATGAAAGTACTCTAGACCAGAGCACTCAGGGTGCGGGTGGGCGGAGCAAGGGTATTATAATAGTCTTCGTTAGGCGTCCAGTTATCCTCCGCACGTATAGGTTGGACGATATGTCCGCGTCAATGAGGCCGAAGACATGCATGTCCAGCGAGATACAGCTTGTCAACCCGAAAAGGTTGTAGTTGTACAGGGGCAGCTAAGCCTAGATTCTCTTCGTCGTATTTATCCGATGCATAAACAACGCCACGTTGACAGGGGATCTGACTACAAGATACCGTCGGCTTTTTCCTGGGTGCCTGCGCCTGTTTCCGTAGTCCCGTAGTCCGGGAACATGCAAAGGTTGCGCAACAAGGCATCTGAATTGCGTGGGTGCCTGGCTATACTAGTTTTCAGCGGAACGCCTCTTGCTCGCTTGTGCAAAGGCGACTATCATCGTTCTGGGCGAATGTGGGACTTCAGCTTGGCAGCATAACAAGTGTATTCGGTGTTGCCTCGAATCGTCAAGGATCCTTCGTCTTTTCTATGAATACCTGTAGGCATAGGGTTAATTTCCCCGGTGGATCCGCAATACACGATGCCGGTACTCAGAGATAGGGCACGGTTTTACGCGCTAGCGAAGAAAGCTTAGTCTTACTAAGTAAATATTATTTCTATCTCTTCCTGCACTACCATTCCTTCCTCCACAACTATCCTGCATGGCAAACTGTGGAGAGATCGTATATCACGTGACTCAGGGCCCCACAATGATCATTGCGTTCTGACGTAGTAGACATCCCTAGGCCTCCAGCCTTCTCGTCTCTTGTCAAAAAGAAGGTTCTTCTTGTTACTTGTAAGACATGGCCCTCTGTACTGTCTGCCAAAACCTCCCCTTCGTTAACATCCTCCAGGGACTAAAACCAGATCTCAGCCTTAATGAGACATACGGGAGTAAGAACCAAAACAGCATCCCACACCATGCGACACTGGAGGCTCTAACTCTGGCCGCGGGCGAGGGCTGTCCACTTTGCTCGCGTGTGCTTGAGGACCTTCGCCTCAAGGACAAACCTCATTTCCCACTAGTGGTCTACGCTATCGAAAGAAAGCGGCAAGATCTTGACGCGGACGGGAGCGCAGCGGTTGGTACGCCAGGAATTGAATTTACGGAGACATATCGTTCGAGGAAGTACGAACCACGCTGGACGCTGCCATTCTACGTTGTTCCGGCCGTGGGATCCCCAGGCCCACTTATAACTCACAGCGTGCCGTGGCTGACGGTTGAAGATGCGGCTAAGGAGTGGTTGCGTTCTTGTAGTGAAAAGCATCCGCAATGTTCACCGCTTGGTGACCGGCCGCTCCCAACACGTGTGATTGATGTAGGTGACAAAAACTCCTCGCGGATACGTCTTGTTGTATCACACGGGCGCCTTGACCGCTACATCGCACTGAGCCACTGCTGGGGCCACAGCGAGCCGATCACTACTACCAAAGACAACCTTGATAGACATATCAATGAAGGAGTAGAGATTGGCGACTTGCCGCAGACATTTCGCGATGCAATCGAAGTGGTGCGGGCGCTCGGTTTCCGGTATCTATGGATTGACTGCCTGTGCATTATCCAGCAGGATGGCGAGGACTGGCAAAGAGAAGTCACGCGGATGCCGGAGGTCTATGGAAACGCTGCGATGACAATCGCGTCGTGTGTAAAAGACGCCTTCGTCGGGTTTCTAAAAGAGTCGTCCTGGACTCCGCACGCTGCTATTTATCAATTCAATGTCCAGTGGAAGAATGCAGATTGTCCGACGACGATTGCGATTTATGAGCAACCCAAGCAAAAAGCCTGGTATGAACACTTCTACCCCGAAGACGGCTTGCCCTGGAACTCGAGGGCCTGGACGCTCCAGGAACGCCTATTGTCTGCGCGGGTCCTGTATTTCGCCAACGGTAAGCTCTTCTACGAGTGCAACACGGCGCAGTTCTCACGTTCCTGTACTTCTCCGTTGCCACTTGAATATTTCCATGAGGACTCCACCCTCGTTCCGAAGACCGTGCTACAGGAGGTTGACGCCTATGCGCTTATGGGCATGTGGTACCGCATTGTCGCCGATTACAGCCGCCGACGCCTGACCAAGGGACAGGACCGTCTCACGGCGATATCAGGCGTTGCGCGCTTCATTGCAGAGAGAGTGAAAAGCGAGTATTGGACTGGGCTGTGGGCGTCGGAATTCGTCTACGGGCTCTTGTGGAAGTCGTCGTATCCAATCACGAAAATAAACAAGTGGAGTACTGATTACGACTACGATCCTGTCAGCCAGTACAAAGCCGAAAATTCCGGGCCATCCTGGTCATGGGCAGCGTGCGATCATGGAGTGGAGTACCCCGACAACGTGCCGCGTGATACGTGTATGAGGTGGTCTCAGTGGACCGGTAGCGTCGAGAAGATTGAACCTGGTGGGCTAGCTGTGTGCTACGAGCTGCTGAGTATAGATATCAAGCCGCTAGATGACGCCTTTGGTCCCATTGAAAAGGGCGCCTTGACCATACTCAGCACCGTACGAGAGGTTGAAATTCAGTGGCCATGGGGTAGCGAACAGGTTTGCAAGCGCACTGATCCCGCGAGCTCAGAGAGTTTAGGGCAGTACACCACTGATGGTCGATGTTCAACGATTAAGACTGAATTATTTGGCGTGCCTGTTGCTGTTTGGCGGAGAGAGCAGAGTGACAGAGATCACAAAAAGAAAATGGAAGACACGGGGGACGTAGACAATGAGAACAGTGTAGAGGGCAGTACAGCTGGACGCGGTACAAACAATGAATACGACTTCACCTTTTTTGTATGGGTCGTACGGCGAGACGATTCTGACGAAGCTACGTATCGTAGGGTAGGGTCGATTGAGGGAGGGAGGCTAAAGGATCTTCAGTGGCTTCTCAGTGGAGTAAAAGAGCGTATAGTAGTACTATAATCTTAATGGCTTCTCTCTTATAACTTACCTCTACCTCTACTAGGTGCTTGAATGGGGCAAGACGCGCTGCGGGTCTAGTTCTTTCTGGTCATGCAAGATCGCTATGTGCAAGTCGAACAGGCGCATGAATATCACAAGGTGTTGGGAACTTGAAAGGGACGAGATGGAGAATTGAGGTGGAGCCTGGTGGTGTGATAGTTATCAGAGCTTAGTTCTAGGGTTGTCATGAAGCGTACATTCTGCGTTGGCATCAAGAAATTCCTCCCGATAGCAATGACCAGAACAGTTCGCGTTAACATCTCTGTAGAAGCTTATCTGTCAGAGTCCAATGCCGTCATCACAACAAACATACACGCCGTCACGGCACGATCTCGGCCTCAAGATCGACAGGTACACGCGGAACCAGAAATAGCCCACCCAGCTGAACCCTAACCAAACGCCTCCCCGTGCACCCCGCCCAGCACCCCAATCCCACATGTAACTAAACCCACCGTCTACACTCATTTATCTCCCCTCACACAAACTGTAATTTCTTCTTCCCTCGAAACCTTATTCACCGCCCGAGAAGCAGCCCTCCTGCTTTTCACTCCCCGCTCGCCCGCCCGCCATGGCGACGCGTAAAAACCGCGTGAAACCCACGCCGTACCCCTTCCTTTGGTTCCATCTTCCTCGAAGCGCACAACTTGTCTCGTCGCTTGTGGTAGCGGGTATTATGTCGTATTTCTTGCGCGAGCTTTCGCGGGATGGGTATACGTTGCCTTGGACGTTTATTTTGGTATGGTTTTCCCAGAATATTTGTTCAATCGAACCCTTCGCACATCCTTTCCTGGCTCAATGGAGGGATATAGAAAAGAGATCAATAGCTAACTAATTCAATCATAGCTTACGGTGGTATCGGTCTTGACTATTGTCGCTCTTGCATCGACCATTGTGCTACATTTATATCACGGTCTTAATCCTGGTTTGAATATCGCCATCAACGGTTCACTCGGGGTGTTGTGGATTGTGTCGTTTGGGCTGCTGGCAAGATGGACTTCCGGGACGGTAGCGGGTGTCTGTGATACTTCGCATTGGGACTCTGATACAGGAGTGAACATATGTAGGCAGTACAAGGCGTTATTCAGCTTTGCACTGCTGAGTTTGCTCGCGACGCTGCTGGCGCTGGCTGTAGATGTCAAGGTGCTGAAGGGAGCGAGGACGAGAGGCGCCTTCCAGCCGGTAGTTGGAATGGCGGGTGAGGGGAAGGGAGCTCCGGACAACTCGCAGGACCCGGAAGCCAATCCCAATCCGATCGCTGCGCGGACAAGGCAGAGTAGAGGTGGTGAGGGGTATGCGTTACCAGAAGAGCAGTTTGAGTATGATGATTTGGAGTACCATGGAGCAGCAGGGGCGATTCGGCGGAGGAGCTTGGAACGTAGAACATGAGGTATGGCAAATTCAATTCATTAATGTTGTTACATACAAAACGCCGTATTCTCAAGTACTGATACACTGATCTTTTGCAAACGCCGCCCAATGTTGGCATTATGCCGGGTATCATAGTAGAAGAAGATTAGAAGATGTCGTCCATATTCGCCTCCTTCCCACTCATGGCAGCCGCTGCTGCATGTTCGGTGCCGACATCTGCATCCATGGACATGGACGGAGCATCCCTTGCTGCGATCTCATCTTCGATGAAGACACCGAAGCCTCCAAAGGCTTCGCGCAACGCGCGATCGCAGTAGTCCTGCAGGCTGTGTCCTCCAACAAGATGCGCCGAGTCCTTCTTCATACGCGCATACCAGTCGACATCGTAATTGTCTTGAAGCACATAGTACTGAGGCGCAATGTTGTATCCTCCCCATGGATCGAAGGGCGGCTCCTTTGGTGGCGGGACGTATTTCTTGAGTCCACGGAACATGAGGTCGGCGCCATCATCGTTCTGGCCAGCACCTTTGGCACCGCCGGTCTTCCCGGCGTCACGCTTTGTGGTAGCGGCATTTGAGTCTGCCTTTTGGAGTGCTTCAAACCGATGGAGCTTGTTCCATGTTGCATCCACATCTTTGTTGAGAATAAGGTTCCATGTCATTTCTTCGACCTGCTCCAGGTAATCGTTATAGTCTCTTAACGTCTCGAAATCGTCTTCTGTTTTGTTCATACTGGTCTGCTGTTAGCTCGACACCAATTTGTGCACGGCGAACTTCACTCACATCTTCATAACTTTCTTTCGCAGGTCTACCTCCCTTTCCACCTTCAAATCTTCAAAGGTTGCCCTTCGAAAGTTCCTGTATGCTAATGTCTTCGCACAACCCGCCACAGGACATATGTTGTTTCCTTTGTTGCCTCCAAACAGACGTTCGACACAGGTATCGCACATGGAATGATAGCACGTAGGGTTGATTTTGAATTGCATGTTCGGGTCAAGGTAACCCGACGCCTTGCAGACGGGGCATACGCCTGAGAGAGCATCAGCGAGAGATTCGCGCGGCACATGCAGCAAAGATAGATTATATAGAGATTGAGAAAGGGCAAACGCACCACTATCCTGCTTCGACGCGCCCGTTGCGCGTCCGGATCTCGACATGGCGGAGGTGAGGCGAAGGTGATGGCGAAGCTCCGCGGGCGAGTAACTTATCTTGGGCTGATTAATCAGCGGTAGGATTTCGCTTGTTGCTCTGCTAGACCGACAGCATGGCTTGCTTTCCCAATACGAGTGAACAAAATAGTGCGATGGCGACTTTTGTGAATAATTACATACAAAGTTCGTTGTAGTACTGTGAGACGCCAGTGCTCTGGATGCGCGCGCATGATCCCCCTGCGGGGCGAGCTAACTGCCAAGCTCGGCCATTTTCTGCAGACAAATTCCGCCAACTTTTTTCTTTTCCCTCACCCTTCTCCATCTCGTCTACTCCAGGACAACACCGACATAATGGCAGCCTCTACACAAAGTGCTCTAGAGGATATTGAACGCCGCCGAGTACAGCTTCAACAAACTGTTGACCAGCTCCGCAAGTCCTTGAATCACTGGACAACCTGGGAGGCCGAGTATGAGGCGCTCAAAGAAGAAATCGAGGCTGCCGGTGACCCTTCGCCCTCACAAATACGTGAGATGGCACGGGAACTGGAGCTCGAGCTACTCAATGAAAAGGAGCTCGACGAGCTGCTCCGCAAGAAATCGTCAACCGAAAGCACTGGTAACGAAGTTGTTAACAAGATCTCTAGACGCATTGACTATGTGCGAACCAATAGTGCTACAATCGAGAAGAACCTTGATGCCGCCGAGAAGAAGCTTGCTGGTGTCGATGTCTTGTTAGAGCCTGGGATGGACAACGAGGAAGGCGAACCAATGATGGACATTGAAGAAGAGCTAGACGAAGAAGGTAACGAGATATCGAGCTCAGTCAATCAGACGGGAAAGGCTGCCGCCGAGCTTGTGGAGGTGTTGCGCAAGGCTGGGATCCAAAAAGCTGAGCTGGAGAAGAAGAATGCGGTGCAAGCGAAGGAACAACCACCAGAACCTTCGTCCACTTCTCCGCCAGCTTCAGATCCTATAAAGGAATCCACGCCTACTGCTTCGTCTGAACCAGCCCCTGCCGAAAACCGCACTGCAAAGGGCCAGTCTCCTTCAAAGAAAGCTGTTTCTTTCGCTGAGAAGGTTGAAGTCGAACCACAGGTGAAGCCAGTATCGAAACCTCAGGTTAGTCAGAACCTTGCATCAGTGCAATTTCCAGAAGGTGTCAGAGCAGTTGAGCTCGAGGACGACGAAGACCTTTCATCGGCCGTTATACCCGAAGATGAGTCTTCAGAAGATGCCGAGCTTAGAAGACAGATGCTGGAGTATGGCATGTCAGAAGTCGGGCAAGTCGTTGCAGAGCTCAACCTCGATGAGCCTACTGCATCATTTTCTGATGACGAATCGGACTACGATGACTACGACTACGACACTGAAGATGACGAAGAGGAAGACGAATACGGCCGGAGCACAAGACCTGTCATCACCGAGGAATATCGAAAGCAGATGATGGAGCTGGAAAAGAAGCTGGGCGCTCGCATGCTCGAAAACATTGGACCGCGGCCAGACGATCGCCCATTAGACGAGCACATTGGCGATATTCGCACCATGCGTGTGCAGAAAGATGAGCAGTTTGATAAGGCATTGGATACATCAAAGGCCGCTGCGAAGTCAACAGACGATGGTGGCGACGAGCAGCCGAAGAAGAAGGGCGTGCGGTTCGCGAATGACGTCGATGTATCTGAAGCTCCCAAGCCAGTGCCCGAAGCAAAGCGAACAGCTCAGCCGACGGCCAAACCAGCGTCAACAATTGCAGACACCATCGTGGAGAGATCTGCGCCTGCTCTACCGTCTGCAGTAGAACCCCCCAAACCAAGCAAGGTCTCGAAGTTCAAGAGTGCTCGTGCTGCCGCAAACACCCCACAAGTATTGCCTACGCCTCCTGTCCCAGAAGCGCCGCCTGTACCGACTGGTCCTGCTGGTCAGACATTAGCTTCAACAATCACTGAGCACGTCCCCTTACCGTCGGAGCCTCAAGCACCTGATGAATTTGATCAAGTCCTCTTGAATCGCGAAATCCAAGCCCAATATCACAAGGCGCGAAATCGATTCATCCAGCGACAGGGTGGATTTAAGGCGACAGAAGAGGACGAGGAGAATCCAATCATGGAAGAGCGAAACGGAAAGCCGAAGAAGGTAAGTAGATTCATGGCGGCAAGACTGAAGGCCGACGGTATGTAAGCCTCCATACATCGCCAGCATCGGCTTGTCGTCTACTCTTTTTCTTATGCGTGACACCACAAACGGAACAATTCATGTCCGTGAGAGATGCCATTACCATGCGTCAAGACTCACATTACATTGTTTCCAAGATCAAGTCGGAGCCACTAGACGCGTTTGGCTACTTGTGCCTGTGCGCGGTTCATTTTTCTCCATACATATATATTGTTTTTGACAGCCTGTGTTGGCACGAATGAATGCAATACCATTTTTGGAAATTTTAGGGAAAGCCCTCAATGATTGGTGATGTGGTGTCGTATTTTTGCATAGTATGCGAGCCCAGTCGACAAACGACGTCAGGCGGGGCAGGCATGGTGGGGGGTCCTCTGTGCCTGACTCTGTAATTTTTCTACGCCTCCCAAGTAATACTTAGTATGACTTCGGACTCCAGCTTCTCCACGCCCTCCGATTCGCTGCTGCCTGCCCATGATCTGCCCTCGCCTTTTCCAGACGCCTCCAAAAATCCTGCCCACCTTGCCTTTGCCCCGATAGCGCTGGCGCAGTACCACAACATTGCCCAAGAGCTGGCCTCCAACAACCTTTACCGCATCCTACGCGCTCCAGGCCCTATCCGTGTATGGGTGTACCGCTGCCTGCTCGCCCAAAACCAGCTGTGGCATGACTGGAACCAGCACGCGACATCACCAGCAACCACTGTGAAGAATTCGGCAGGCAACATGGTCGACGGCAGCGTCAATGGTACCGAGAGCGTGGGTGAATCTGAGCGCCCGGAGAGCTCAAATGGCAGAGCAGCGAGGCCATACCTTACCCGTCTTCGCCTCGCACTCGCCCCGTATATCGTCCACTTCCACAATCCAGGCTACATTAGAGACGACACGCTGCGCATGTTGGAGCGCGACATTGTGAAAAAGACACTGGAAGAGTCGCGCAAGAGCTTGGAGCTGCGTGAAGAACTCGGCCTCTCGTGGGAGTTTTGGGACGAGCTTGCAGGCGTACTCAAGGCCGCTGTCCCCTCGCTCGAACGTCGCTGCTTTGCTGCGCCAGATCCTGCGGCTCCAGAATATGAGGGGCTGTCGGGTCCCCTCATAGCTAGTTACTCGCCGAGCCTGCTTAGAGATCTGGAACGGCTAAACCAGCTCGTGTGCATTGCGCGCAATGTGTTGGTACATGGAGAGCGGGTGCAGAATCTCAGCGCAGACAGGCTCTTTGACAAGGACATATTTGCTCTCATAAACGTCTGTGTGCGTGTCACAGCGAGGGGCTACGACGGCGAAGCGGGAACCCAAGACGAGGACAAATGGCAGGGCGTCATCAATGCATACAAGAAGCTATTGATCACTTGTTTACAATTCCTGAACAATCTCATTGCCAAGAATGAGCAGCGCAAACTCATGCTCTGGATTGAACTCTTCGATAGCCACCTGGACAATGAGCTCCCCAACTTCGCCGATATGAAATACAAAATGGATGAGTTCCCGCAACAGGATCAAGAACCACCACCAGAAGAACAGCCTTTGCCAAGTCACGCAGCGCGGAGCTTGGATACCTTTAAGATACCCCAACAACCCGCTTCGTCCCCTTTCCTACTCTACATTGGTGAGACTGGAAATGACGTCAAGAAGGCTCTCACGCAGCATGGAGTCAAGGCCGGTGCAAATGAGATTGCTGCTGAGTGCAGAAGACGGTGGCAGACCATGAGCGAAGAAGAAAAGAACGTAAGTAAAGACTGGTCTCTCTGTCCCAAGTTCCTACTAACATCTATAGAAATGGAACATGCTGTACGCAGATGTTGTCGCCAGGTACCGGGACCAAATCACTCAGTCCAGCACATACCGCAAGGTTGTCGACCAACATGCCAAGAACGAGGAGAGTGTGCAAGCACTTGCCAAGAGCATCAACCAGCTCCAAGTTGAGGTTGACCGAATGCGCTCATCCATTACCATATTACCAGGGGAGGAATCTAGCCAAGACCAACCATCGCCAGCCCCGGATAGGGAGAAGCAGTCCCCGAAACCAGCAGCGGATGACTCGTTACTAGATCCCAGCATCAAACGGTCTCCCCCGGCAGGTGAGATCGATTTCCGTGTGACATACCCGCCATCCTTTGGAGCCGAGATTCTTCAGAATGGCAAAGAAGACTTGCTCAAACGTCTGGAGCCAGACCCCGACCGACCCTCAGGGCTAATCAGTGACGTAGCCTCTCCGACTTCCCCTCCACCAGAGGACGACGATGATAATGACGATGACTACGACGACATTCCTGGAGATGAAGGCCGAGGTCTGCTCACAGATGTTCCGCTTATTCTGGGGCCCACTGAAATCGAAGTCCTGCCCATGATTATCATGGCCGGCATCGTTGAGCCACAAGAGGGACAGCCTGGATATCACTCGGATCCGACTGTCTTCAGTAGTGTGAGGAGCATGCATGGTGTGCGGTGCCATCTCCTCCTCGCACAAGACAATGGAAGGAATCTACTGCGCGAGCTGTTAATCTTTGTTGCTGCCTGGGACCTCAGGGAGGAAGAGCTCTACTTCAAGTTCATGGTGAAAATCATGGAAGCCATCCTTGCGAACCAGCTTCTACCGTTTGCCTATCATGCTTTCAGAGAATCTGAGTAAGTCCAGTGGATGATTTGGTTGAGTTCAGCTGACAGCATACCAGATCCAAGGATATCATATCGCCAGCCCAGGCAGTCATAATGAAACTTCTCACCAACATCTTCCGCGCTAGACAAGCTCGCACTCAGCCCGCCAAAGGCCATCTCAAAGCGAATCACCCACAAGTTGATCAGGGAGATGTTCACATGGTCAACTTCCTGCTCACCGAGTTCCGGCGGCATATTATTCCACAGACTTGCGCACTCATTTTTCTGCAGGGTCAAATCCGGGCTGGACATGCACAACCTGAGGACTTCCCCCTCAATCTGTGGGATATGGAGCGGATGTATGAGGGCGTCTACCAATACTTAGAGTTCTTCGCTATCCTCACCGAGCACGAAACATGGAAGAGGATGTTGAGCAATTGGGAGATTTCCCACGAGCTAGTTACGTTGCTCAAAGAACTTGATGCAGCGATCCCTAAGGGTCAGCTGTCACCACCACCTCTGAGGAATGTTCAACATGCCCCAGCCACAACTGCGCCAGCAGAGGTAGATACTTCGCAGCAGCAACAACAGTCATCACAACCCCAACCAGTTGCTGTCGAGCGACCATATGACACTACAGCAGGAGCTGCAGAGGCCTATGCTCCTCCACCAACATCGCCATCACCTAGGCCGTACATGGATGAAGCTGCCGATGAGCCTTCAGACTTTGAATGGCGCAACCTGAAGAAGCTTGCCGTGCTTGTGCTAAGTTCCCTAGTGTGGAAGAACAAACAAGTGCAAGACCAGATCCGTCCTCTGGGTGGTATTGAGGCAGTCTTGAATTGCTGTTCCTATGACGAACACAACCCATATATTCGCGAGCATGCCATAATGTGCCTGCGATTCCTTATGGAAGGCAACAAAGAAAACCAAGACTGTATTCATGCGCTTGAGAGATATAGCCAAGATGCAATCAACAAAGCGAAGACCTCGACGAATTCATCATCGTCTTCAAGCACCCCTGCGACGGCAAGCGAGAGCAGCAACAGATCACCTGTCAACGTCCGCGTGCCTGACGAAGTGCTCGATCAACAAGGGTACGAAACCTACATGGACAAACAAGGGCAGGTCATGTTGCGAAAACGACAGCCTCAGCCTCAGCCCCAGCAGCCACTGACATCTCGTTCAGATACAGGAAGCAAGGGTAAAGGAAAAGTCGATGCTGCTACGCTAGGCAGCATGAGGGATCCAAAAGCACTTGAGGACCTGGTGCAGCAAGTCATGCGTGATCTACCCCGTGTGCAAGGTCTCAGGGGCGGGGAGGAGAGAGCAGCGGAGGTTGAAGAAGCATTGAAGAAGCTAGACAAAGGGTTTGACGGTGGGAGCTCGCAAGGCTGAGCGTCAAACTCGACATCTACCGAGCTGAGGAAGTACCAAAGACTGCGCTACCGGATTGGCTGCGCTGACGTCAGAGGTTGCCTTTGTGTAAGAATTGAGGCACAAAGGTCCGTGTCCTTGAAGGTGACATTCTTCGTAACGAGCCCTCGCAACGGGGCGTATTTCTGGGGGCAATATTCGAATACTTTCGAGTCGGAGATTGGCTGCAAGAGTCAGCGGTGAGGTCTATGCCTCGGAGTCGGGTATGGTTCGCATACGAGGGATCGGCAGCAGCAAACCCGCTTTCGGGGACATTATTACCCGAAGCAGTGCTGACCCTCGCGATACCTTCCATGGCTTGCTCCACATTTTCCAACGTCCGTCATGTCGGCTCGTAGAAAAAGTACCGGCCTTGTCTACCGTTGACGATAACAAATCGCTAGTCACGCAATTTCGCACCCCACAATTTTTATCGAAAGCACCGTATCGAGCAGGTCCCAAGGACTGTGCCACTGTATCTCTTGGCAACTGGAGCAAAACAGGTGAACAAGAGGGTATACTGCGTAGACCAAGCGGATACTGGCAAGGCCCGACTTCGGAGTCTGTATGTAGAGCATGCCTTACTTTTAACCTGAATAGAACATGATGTATTTCCAATTGCAACGTCTTTTTGCCGTCGACGAAGCTGCTCGCCCTGAGCTGCTTTCACAACTTTACGTCAGCGTCATGGCTCGTATCACCGTGGCTCAAAAGACTTTTACCACACTCGTATGGCTGAGTAGTGTCGCCTCGACACAGGCCGCGCCCCAAGTCACGCTTCCCGGATACGGGAGCTTTGTCGGTACGACTGTCTCCCAGACGCTGACCAAGAAGCCACTGCCAAAGCCTGTGGATGCCTGGCTTGGGATCGATTATGTCTCGCAGCCCGTCGGGGAGGCACGGTTTGCGCCTGTTGGCCCTCCTGAGCCGTTTGAGGGTGTGAAGAATGCGACTCAATATGGATTTTCGTGCCATCAGGATCCGCGGGATATCACGTACGAGGTTAACGAGGCATGTCTGAACATGAATGTGTTTCGTCCACAGAACGTATCGGCGCACGAGAAACTACCCGTACTCGTCTGGATTCATGGGGTGAGTTGCGGTGTGCTATATTCATTGGATACTTTTTTTTTCTGACAAAATCAGGGTGGTTTTGTAGCTGGCAGCTCAAGAAATTTCGACGGACCGTCCTTTGTATCTAATTCCCGAGAGCCATTAATCGTCGTCAACTTCAACTATAGAGTAAGATATCATGTTCAAAAAAAACACGTATTACCCTCACTTTACTGAATTCTAAATCAGGTAAACTCCTTCGGCTTCCTCCCCTCCCCTGTCTTCGAACGCCTAGGCCTATTGAACCTAGGCCTCCGCGACCAACAATCCCTCCTGGAATTCGTACAAAAATACATTTCGCAATTCGGCGGCGACACATCTCGCGTCACGCTGGGCGGCCGCTCCGCAGGCGCCCACTCGACCGCCATCCACCTCTTCCACAACTACAACTCCACCTCGGGACCCTCCCCACTCTTCTCCCAGGCCATCCTGCAATCCGGCAGCGTAACGGCGCGGTCATTTCCAAATGCCTCGTACCCGCTCTACCAACAACAGTTTAGCCGCTACCTCTCGCTCGCGGGCTGCGCCTCGACGGCCAATAGCTCCGACACGACCATCCTCGCCTGCCTGCGCGCCGCCCCCGTTTCCGCCCTCGAAAACGCAAGTGCCCAGATCTGGCGCGCCTCGGAATACAGCATCACGTGGCCCTTCCAACCCACCCGCGGTGGGTTCCTCCTCGAGAAGTCGGGTTCGCAAGCCGGCCGTGACAGCCTCTTCTACCGCATCCCCACCATCACCACAAACGTGCTCGACGAAGCAAAATTCTACTCCCCAGGCAACATTTCGTCAAACACGCAATTCCTCGCGTACCTGCACACCCTCATCCCCGGCCTCACCCCCTCCGACCTCGACGATCTCGACCGTCTGTACCCGGATCCGGCGCTCGATCCACTCAATGGACCCTATGCCTTCAGCCCAAACTCCACACAGTACAATCGCTTGTCGGCGGCGCTGACGGATTACATGTACGTTTGCCCGGGCCAGGAAACTGCAGTCCGCATGGCGCGCAAGGGTGCACACGTGTTCAAAGGCGTCTGGGCCGTTAATAATACGTTTCCTGCCTGGAAGGGTGTGCCGCATACGGCTGATACAAAGTATACCTGGGCGGAACCCGCAGGCGCGGGTGGGGTGCAGTATCCAGAGGTGGGGAAAGAGTTGTTGCACACTTATTTCTCGGATTTTGTGGCGTTGGGCGGGAGTCCGAGTGCTGGAAGGAGGGAGGGTGTTCCGGTTTGGCCGAGGTATGAGGAAGGAGGGGATGGGGTGCCTGGGTTGCAGTTGCGGATTGAGGCGTTTGGGAATAGTCGGGTTGAGGGGGATGGGGTGAGGAGGGTGCAGTGTGAGTGGTGGAGGGATGAGGGGAGGGCGGCGAGGTTGGAGAAGTGAGGATGGGGGTGAAGGGGAAACACGATGTTACGATATCAAAGTCTGAACGAACATGGGAACACAAGATACAAGTTCGCAACGAGTAATGGTATATTTCTCTTTCTCTCTCTCTCGTCCTACTTTTCAAATCCTTTCGATATCTCTCCCAATGTCCAAACAGCAAAATCAACTCGATTCAATCCAATCGACAAAAAAAGGGTGGGGGTATATATCTCCAAACTCCGACTCCTCCGCGAAAATGGTTTCTCATTCCCCTTTACTCTTTTCCGCCTTCCGTAAATATGCAGAGCGCGGGAAAACTCACGCAAGCGTGCACTCCACACCCCGACATTTACGTACAGAGGAAAAGAAAAAAAAGGGAGGAAGAAAGGGGGGGTATAAGGTCGTGCCAAAAAAAGCAAGCTAACAACAAAATGAGCGAGGGGGGGTATCACCACCTGATATTCGTAAGGAAAAAAAGAACGTAGATAGAAAAACAAGTGGTGAACCAACGGGGGTTGAAAAGGAACGTAAGGTATGGGAACTTAGCAAAAGAAGAGCCCCAAATCAGAAACACATTACAATAAAAAAAACAGCCCGCCAAAAAAGGTTTTTGTAAACCTCGACACACTGACTTATTTTCCATCATCGAATCGTCTCAGACAAATAACGAAAAAAAAGGGGGTGTGGAACGTTGATTACAAGAACAGATAAGCGGGTTTAAGGTGGAGAAAATAATGATTTGAGATAAAACATGCCAAAAAAGGTTTTGGAATGTAAGATGTCAAATCAAAAAAGGAGGTGGTGTGCGCATGCATGAAGATGTCAAGTTTTGACAGGTCGGGTAAAACAAAACAAAACAAACGTCAAAAAGAGTACGTGGTTGCGCAAAACGCTGGGTTTGCTAAACCAAACAAGAGAATGTAAGAAAGATGTCGCGCGACATGGGGGCGAACAAAGAATGCAAAAGAAGCGTAACAATGGGACATGGTCGTGAAATATAAAAAAAAGGGCATGAAAAACAAAGAGTTGAGCGAGCCTAGGCCAGAGGGGAAGCTTCCGGGTATAATGGGTGGTTGAATCAAAGACGAGCACCAGTCGATGATGCAAGAAGCAGCGAGGCGTTTGGTTTGGGTAGATGGGGTGGGATTGGTTTTGCTCGTAGCAAAGAGTCTCTCAGAGGACGAGGTAACCAAGACCGGCAGCGACGACGGCAAGGTAGACGTTTGCGGTGAGAGAAGAGGCGGCGCCAGGGAAGGCGGCAGGGGCGGAAGCGCTGGGGAGGGTAGCAGTAGACGCCGAGGGAGCAGCAGTCGGCGCGACGCCGGTAGCGTTGCCAGCGTTAAAAGAGCTGAAAGAGGGCGCAGCGGTGGGGTGGCTGGCGATGATGGTGGACGTCTGGTTCACGGGGGCGCCGGTGGGAGAAGAGCTGGCAGTGACGGTGTTGACGCGGGTGATGGTTGAGGTGATGTAGACGGTGGCATCGTAGCTGATGGTGTCGGAAGAGGTAGTGGCGACAGCGGTTGCGACCAGGGCGCAGAGGGCAAGAGGGATTTGCTGGAAGGAGGGCATGGTGGTAGTGGTGATGATTGCGTGCTGTTTGGTTTGTTGCGACGAGAAGCGAATGGGGCGCAAGAGGGTACAATGTGAGATGCGACTATGGCGGGAGCGCAAATGAGTGTTTGATAGAGAGAGAGTAGTGAGTGAGTGTATACAAAAGTGTACAGTGCGTAAGCAATGGTGAGAGCTAGCTAAAGAACGTAGTCAGCCGATGGGGCAGAAGCAAATTTAAAAGAGCGAGGGCAGAGAGCGAGGGTGAGTAAGTAGGTAGGGTCCAGGCAGAGCGGGACGTTTGAGGGGAGAAAGACGATGCGGGTGGGTCGCCGGGGAGGATGCTCCTGCCTTGTGCTTGCTTGGCTGGCCGCAATTTCCCTGTTCCTGGGGCAATTTCGGCTCTTGCAAGGCGCTAACGCAGGTCGGGCTTGCCATTTGCTCCCACTAAACGGCAGGCTCGGGTGTACCTGACCAGCGCATTGGCGTGCATCCTACCATGACTACATCAAATCCTTCACCACCCACTGCGCCTCTGCCATCATCGCTGCAACGGCGCCCCCTCCCTCCATCCCTCGATCCATCCACATGCTCGCCCTGGATGCGCGCACAAACACCTCAACCCCAGATGGCCTTGTCGCCAGGCATGCCCTGACCCCCTCATCCCCATCTTGTCTCAAGACCCAAGGCGCGTGGTTTCATGGCCGTTTGGCCAGGGAAACCTAGTCTAACCCCAATCGTTCCATCGTCACCCAGCCTGACAAGAAAAGCGCGCCGCACAGACACGGCAGGCGTGCTCAGCGAATCGTCGCGCAAATGGCCGCCAGCCGTGACTTGTCGACGCGGAGCCGGTAGGTACACCGCATCCAGCACAGCACACTACCTTTTGTTCGCCGGCCGCCCTCGTGGCACGCTATCAGCCCTCGCCGGAGCGGAGCCCAGTTATTGTGGCCATGCCAACTCTTGCTGTGCTGTCATGTGGGAGTCAGCCTGAGAGTCTTGACGAGTGATGTGAGAGGAGGGTAAAGAATTTTCTGCAAAGACTTTGACCGCCCGCCCGCCCGCCCCAACACCATCGACGACTGTCCATTGACAGCCGCCGCCCCAGTGACTCTTCTGTTCAACAGCTGCACGAGCCGCAGTAGCACGCTGCGGCCGGCCTCCAGCACGGTTGCTCCTCCATGTGCGCATGATCGTGAGAACTTGGCACACACCCACACACACACTGCCAAAAACCAACAAGTCGAAAAATAAAATAAAATTACCATTACACCTCACCCAAGCGACGCCGCTCGGATTGGCTGCTTACCACCCACCCCCCTGCCATTAGTACCTTTGCTCTTATTTCGTCTCTTCAGCCTCGCATATGAACTATCGGCTGTCCATTGCAAATCCAGTTCGCGCCCCTGTGCCGCTAGCAGTAGAGCAAATGGGCCAAGCCTTTGCTTTCTCTCGCGCGTCAAATATCCCTACTCTGTCCCGTCGCCATTGCCTCTTGAATACGCGCGCAAAATGACCGCAAATCCTCGCGTAATATCATCTTGCAACTGCATTCAGCCCACGAACTCCCCACCCCCTCAGAGCTCAAACTCTGATTTGGGTAGGGCGCCTCTTCATTCGTAGTCTGTCACCGCCCACTCGTTAGCCTTGGACTTTTGGAAACTTGACCTCTGAATCAATCAAGTTTCTAGACCGGCCGTCATTCCCCGCCCCTAGTCAAAACAATATCACACACCATCCTGCTTTCAGTCGCCAAACAAACACCCCGAGCAGGAAACCCTCGCTCACAAGTATATTAAAACCCCCTCAAAACATAAACGGCTCAGGCCAGGGAAATGTGGGCGCACGCACCTGTCCAAAACAATACTCTTCCCTGCAACCTTCTCACGATAGTTGCAAAACACTTTCCCTTGCCCGACTCGGCAAAGCATGCGTGATCGGCGCCGCAAGCCAATCTTCAGTCCGCTTCAACCACTTCGGCGCTTTCCCACAGTCGCCGACACATTTCCTCGGCTTCGTTTCGACTGCGCGCTTGCTCGCTCTCGAAGCTCTGCCGCCCTTCAAACTCGCCCTCTGTTCGACTGTTCCGCACCTTCTCGAAACTGACTCGCGATCTCCGCGATCCCGCTCCATCCGTTTCAGCAACCCCATCATTGAAACTCGTGCTCAGACTGTTTGCTCCCGTTCCGTTTCCATTCGCTTTTTGCTGCTGCTGCTGCTGCTTGCACGCTCGCATCTTGACAGCCATGCCCGGCATTTGTGCGATGCGCGCAACCGCATCCGCGATTGGGTTGCGATATCTTCGCACTACACTGTACTCGACCGCAACATGGTTAAACTGCTGCAGCAGCCGTGGGTCCAACCGTCCCTCGCCATTTGCATTGTACTGTATGCTCGACTGAAGGTACGTCGGTCCGCCCGTCCGGGGGAGAGTCACAGGCACCAGCTTCTGTGGCTCCACGTTGGATGATGCTCGCTGCAGCATGAGCTTCTGTTGAGTCCGTGACGGCGGCAGGTTGGTGGGTGTCGTCGTGCCTGACCGCTGCGGCGTCTTCGACGGCGTGTCTGTACCGCCACTAAAGTTTGGCATTGACTTGTTTCTTTTCATCTTGTCCAGTCCGCCTCCCTCGTCCTCGTCCTTGGCACCGCGCCCGGCCATGTACTCGCCCTCGTGTGGTGTTCCTGCTGAGCCATCACCGTCCATGAAACGTGATACTAGGTCGCGCCCAGATGTATCTACCAGCGTTGATCCAACAGATCCAGCTGTGTGGCTGAGGAGATTGTGCCGGTCCGACGACGACACTACCGTGGCCGCGACCGACGTTGTTTTGGGAGGGACGTGATGTGAGGCACTGCGCTGGAGTAGACGTGAAGTAATCATGTCAGCATCCGGAGGCCTCGAGTGCTGGTACGAGCTCCCTCCGTTGATTTGTGCTGTACTGCTGCGTGTGCGGTCGACAACTGCCTGAGCCACTTGGGTTGGCTGTTCCCGGATTGCGCTTATTTGCTGTGATGGCTCTCCCCTATTTCTCTCCATGTTGATCTCAGCCGCCCGGTGTTGTGCGTCGAGTATGACTGAGTTGGAGCGCGTGTTGGATCGAGTCGTTGTTGGTGACTGAGATGCACTCTCCTCCGTCCATCCGGCCTCATCGCCATCCTCGTCCTCGTTGGCGAGGTCGAAATGCACTCCTGCACCTGGCTCGGGCGATGATTGGCGAGATCGGTTGGGTGTCGCGAGTGCGCGCCTCGACACAGCATGATCGCCCTTGGACTTGAGCCCGTGTTTGCCGTGCCCTTGTCGTGGCGGCAAATGACCGCTCGAGTGATTTCTACGTAGGTTGGCCTGTACCTGTGCCTGGTTTGCTCTCACGATAGCACCAGATGATGCATGGCGCTTGAAGCCCGGCCGCGAGTGAGGGCTACTGGGCGCAGAGACAGAATTACCAGACTGCGAACGACGGTGGTGTCGGCTGCCGTGTTCAGCCCCTTGTTGCGCCTGCTGTGCCTGCTTCTCGGCCTTGCTGAGCTTGTTGAGGTTCTTGCCAAACGATGTATTCCTCTGTACGCGCTGGCCAACAACATGGTGCCGCTGGGCTTTGTGGTGCGTAGGCCGCTGGTGGCCTCCCTCGGACGGTGACTGCGAAATGTGCGACTGCGATGACGACTGTCTGGTCATTGGCGTTGGCCTCTTGGACCGCGAATGAGATTCATCGTCCGAAGCCATGCTCACGTCTGACTGTACGGCTGCGTCCTGTCTTTCAAGTGGAGTCGCGGCTGCGGTCGGGTCGTCGGTGGTGCATATACTGCTGTAATGGTGCGTCGCTGTCTCTGCGCGTGGCAGCAACAAGGTGGAGCAGCCAGCGGAGAGGTTCGTCGTGCTGGCGGCCGAGATGATCTAGCGGGCGGCCATGGACATTCAATTGCGTGCGTGGGAGCGTTGGGACGTCGTGCAGCGTGCCACGTCGGATCCAATAACAATGAATGGAGATGGTGGAGTGCATTGCTGTCCCGTCAAATAAGCAGGCGGTCAATCAGCCCCAGCCGCTTCGGTTCACCGCGGCCCGATCCCACACGTCATATGACCGTGACCTCCGTCTACACAGTACCACCCGCCGCCCTTCATCGACGGTGCAACCAACCGTAGGGTCCCAAGTCAACATCACTCATCACGCGCCAAAGCCTTTGTTTCTTTTTCGCCTGTCCTTGGCTTAGCACCGGTCATAATCACAATATATATACTTGCATGCCTAACTATGCCTTCCTCTAGATCATACAGTCGTAGTGTCTCATGCCTGTAATACATCCTCTGTCATCGTTTCGTCACCCCTTCATGTCTGTCGATTATCATGTCCTTACAATACACATGGGATTAATTGTCCGCTCACTTTTGCCTTGTGAGACATCGCTATTCCATGGTCTTGTGCCCTAGAGGCTTTCCCTTGTCAGGCTTTGGTCTCTTCGAATCACCCGCCACCACTGGTCAAATCGCAAAGTTTTGGGCGAGCCTTTTCAGCTTGCATCTCATTCCTCCCCCTTGCAATGCTGCTCGCTGCTGGCTGACTTGTCGCTGCGCCGGGTTCATGCCGTCAATACAACCGAAAGATGATGTAGTAAGCATCGACTCGCGGCGCGACCGGTACGACGGGGGCGGTGGGCCGGAGGAGTATGTCGGAACATCGGACAAATCTCCCACGGAGTCTTCACGAACAAGGCCTGCCAATGTTGTAGACGGCCTTGTGCTGTCTGTGCCTCGCCCTGGGCGCATAAAAGTCTTGTGGACATGTCGCTCAGGGTCATTTTCCACATCACCAAATCTTGCACTGTTGGGTGTGCCATGTCGAGGAGGAATACACTCTCGTGAATCGCTGACAGATATCAATAACCCATGACGCGCCGATTTTTGCCGCCTCGGTGGCGGTACCAGAGGTTTGAGGAAGGATGTCGATCGTGTTATGAGCAGAGAAGTGGTGTCTTCTTGGACATTGTCATAGGAAATAGACAGAGGAGTTATGCACACTGACTGTCTTCTCCTACGCTTCTTACCCGGCAGATGCGTAGATTTTGTACGTAGCATCGAAGGCATTTGAACTTGCACTTTTCTAGCTGAACGTCGGAGACATGGTGTTCGTTGTCTTGTAGCTGTTGTCGGCCTGGTCACGCCTAAGGCTACAGATAGTGGCACAGCATATTGAGCAACTGCCGAACCTTTGGCATTGGGAACTGTCGCCTCTTTCCAGTATGAGATCCCAGCCATGAGCGGCGGCGGTGGTGTGTTTACACTCGCTTCCAGCCATGCATTGACATTCCGAAAAACGCTCGAGTCTGGTCGTGTCGGACGGATTGGAGGCAAGATCGGTGGCCGAGATGAGACACGTCTGCCATCAACAGGTGTTTTTGGTGTAAGGAAAACCACTTCTATCTTGGACACATCCACACGTGCTGGTCTTGTGCACAATCGCTCAGGCGTTGTCTTCCGTTGTGTGTATATGTTTTCTTCTGTGTCCTTCAGTTTCTGTCGTGCTATCGCTTCTCGCACGCGCTTCTGTAGCCATTCCCTCATGGTTCGGTACTTTTTGTTGGATGAAGAAATTTTGTTATCATTATTGGAGAAGATCATGGTGAATGCTTGTGAAGGGTTTGTTTGCGAGAATGTCGTACTGTGATTGATGCACGGCAGTAATGTGGATGAGGTTGGGACGAGTACGCGGTGACGATGTCGTTCAGGTTGAGGAGGTGGCTATTGTCGAAAAGAACAATTCATGTGGTTGCTGTATAACAAAAACTTCATCAGTGTTGTGAGGCAGGAGCAGAGTTGCAATCACCTCAGGCATTTCGGGCAGGTACACCCTGGGTTTGTCGCATGACCAAAAGTCGTAATTCACAGAGTGAACTGAAATGTCAAAATGACAATTCATTTCCCCAAACAACCTCAATTCACGTATTCGCACATATATTCTTACATACTAAGTCGACCTCCGTAGAAGGCAACCTGTGATTTTATGTTCCCTCACTTGTTAAATTATCTGCCAAGGTGCGATACACAAGTCAAATTTATAGGGATGGAATTCCTTGGGTCTTTTGTATCCGAAACACCTCCTGGAAGCTGCAATCTGCCTTTGACAAGAATGCGTTATCATACAGAGGGGTGACATGAAAAAAACGTGTTACTAAAAGTTCTAGTTTTTAAACAAGTATAACTCGACGAATATAAGAGCTATTCCTAATCGGGCTGACTCATTTTAAAGCTAAGAAGTAGTAGTTTTACCTA